CGAAACAAAAAAGGGCAATACCCGGAATAGAAAAGGGCCCCGAAAAAGAGGAGTTTATAAAAACAAGCGTATCCCAAACCTATGCAAGTGGATCGGGCTGCTGTTTTAAGCAGCAAGTACGAACAAATAGCTGATGGTACGGAATATCATGGCGCAAAAGGGGCACTTTCATTAAAGGTCCCATCTTAAAAGGGAAACAAAGGGAATAAAATTAAATTATTACCTTTGAGTTTGGGAGAGATAACGCAGGTTTTAATTTTTTGGTTTCCCTGAAAAGCAAACCCCAAACGGGGGGGAAAACCCTGCGAGATTTAACCCATCTGAAGCTCACCCCGTTTTCCCCCTGGGGCCGCGTATATTCCACGAAAATTGGCCACGTTTGGGCAATGATAAAGATACCTAAAAATCCGCAGGTAAGGGTTCCAAACGGCTAAGGGGTTAGAAAATTCCCCATTTCGGGGCTGGAAAAATTTTAAGCAAATGAAAAGGGAAAGGGGCGCTGTGAAGAAAGGGGTTGCGCAGATGGAGTAGAGGAGAGAGGGAAAGGGGGGAGGGTGGATTGTGTCCATTATTTGGTTTTTGGGCTCTTCAAAATTTCAGAGATTTTCTTTAAGTGTTTCAGAATTCAGAGGGCGTCTTTTGGGGGACAATATTTGGGAAAAGGTAGGGGGATGGATTTAAAGATTGGGGACTGTAATGGATGTACCAAGGTAGGGGGGGGGGGGGGGGGGAGCGAAAGGGTGGAGGGAACTGGAGAAACGGGAAGGGACAGAAGAGGCAAAAAAACCCGGGAGGGGGCAGAAGAGGAAGAAAAAAAGGGGGGGAACCCGGGAGGAAGGTACAGTACGAGGGGAGGGGCCCCCTACACTTGTAAAAGAGGGCCCGTGAGAGGGGGAAACCGGTTTCGAGACCCGGGAAGGGAAAAAAGAAAGGGGGTGGAAGAAAGGGTAGGAGGTGTTAACGGACCCTTTTTTTACTTTTTAGAATAGAGGGAAAATTGGGGGGAAAGGGGTTTTATACGAGATCTCGTCGCTACTGAGGTTGTAGAGAACACAAAGAAGCAAGATCAGACGAGAAGTTGAAAAGGGACGTCTGAGCCAGGACAAACAAAAGAATTTGCTACAGGAGTGACTTTGGGGAAATTAAAAACCCCAGGGGGTGGGTGCAAAAAGATGGGGTACCAGAAGTGGGGGGACGTTTTGAAACACGGGAATAAGAAAAAACCCAGGTGGTTCCCTTGGAGGCGGAGATGAGGAAAATGCCATTTGGGAAAGGGGGACCTTCTGCCTCTTTGAGGTAAAGGAATTTTTTTGTCGTTTTTTAAATAGACTTGACAACGGCGAGAGTTAAAGGGGGGGGGGAGCCTCAGGGCAATTAAAGGAAAAAAAAGGGGGGTTTTAAAATTTCAAGGGGTATTAGAATGGTTTCCCCCAGCACCACAGACTGGGGGATTCGGCGGAAAAGATCTGCAATATTTCGCTGGATGGGGCCCAAAACGCCAGCAAAATTTTTACACCCGTTGCGGTGTAGGGATCACCTTTTTGAACTTTTAAACCCATGTCCCTGCTACTAAAAATGAGGTTTGGGGGTTCCGGCTGTCAAAAGTTAAACGACCCCATTGCTAGGGTAAACGTCTCCGCCCGGGGCAGGAAGAACGTAAGTGTCAACCCTTTAGGATTGGGGGATCTTGGGGGGTTTCCCGCCCGTTCAAGAATGTCGTCCACATGTTTTGGAAATTTTTTTGAACTATGGGTTTGGGGGAAAAAATGAGGTACCACTACAAGAAATTTTAGGGAATGATGCTTTTCAATAGTTACAGGAAAAGTATTGATATGGGGAAAAACGAGAAAACTCTTTAGCCTGGGGAGATTCTGTACGGTGAGATGCGCGAAAACCCCTCTTTAAGACATGAAAAAAAAATTCTTTACCAACAAGGGGTAGGAGTGCCTGCCAATTTCTGTGGGAGAAAGAAAGGCGTAGAGGAAGTCCGGGCGTAAAAATGAAGAAATTTTGTTCCCCCTGTGCAGTTTTAAACCTTTAAACGTGGGGAAAAGGGAGTGAAGGGAAATGTCGATTTTTTTCTGAAAGAACGAGAAGGTGGGGGAAGTATCATCAGCAGGTAATTGGGCGTGTCGTTTAGGCGTGGGACCAAAAGTTTTTTCCAACGGGGAAAGGGGCCCGGGAAATTTGAAAATTGCCGCACCGTTTTGAGGGGGAGGCCCGGGAAACATAGTCAGGGGAGAGCGAAGGTCAAGGGTAAATCGAAGGAGGGCAGTCGAGGCCTCAGTAAACCGAAAACGGGTGGGAAACGCACCCGGGAAGAGGGTTTCAAGCATGAGGAGTGTCCGGAAAGTGGTCCAAAACGAGGCGGGGGTCAGAACCGGGGTTTCGTTTTTCAAAAAGGGGCCCGGGGGTAGCAGGTTCAAAAACTAGGGGTGCCCCTGGTTAGGTTTTTTTTTTTCTTTTTTTTTTTAAGAAAAAAAAAAAAAAAGAAAAGAAAATAAAAATAAAAAAAAAAAAATTTAAAAAAAGGGGGGGCCGGGGAGGGGTAGTTGTAGGAGGAATGAAAAAGGGGCCCGAAATCTCCCTCAAAAGGCCCCGAGGACCTCGCACCCCAAGTAGCGCAGATGCAGCATGGAACCCCTGCCAACCCTACCCATCCCCTCTCCCGTAAACCCCGGGAATCCGGGGTAGCCCAAACCCCACATCTGCCGGACCTTTGGGGGGCAAAAGAGAGGGCGGCCGGAAAAACCCCCACAAAGCATACCTCCCGCCAACCCCCCCCCCGGGAAAACCCAAAAAGGAAGCTTCCAGGATAAACCCGTCGTCCGAAAAAGACACCCAAAACCCCTCCCATACCGGGGGGAGGGGTAGGATATCCCCCGGCAATCCAGATTCCCCCCGGCCCCAAAAAAAAACCCCCCCGCCAAGAACCTCAACGGAATGGGAAAGGACCCCCCGGGACCCTTTCCCCTACCTAGGAACTAGCGTGCCTGTGGGAAAGAAAAAAAAAAAAAAAAAAAAAAAAAAAAAAAAAAAAAAAAAAAGGGCCAAAAAAAGGGAAGGGGAAAAGAAGGGGTGGGGAGGGGGAGGGGGGAAAAAAAAAAAGGGGAGGATGGGATGGGGAAAGGGGGATTGGGGGGAAAATTTGGTTCGGGCTGAAAGGAGAAAACGATAGGTCTAATTCCTCCGACCAAGAGCCTCTTCACCACACCAAGGAGCCCCCCTTGAAGAGGCATCCATGCACTTCTGGCTAGACAGCTACTGAATAAAAAAAAAAATGGCAAATGCATTTCCAGGGGGGGGGGTCTACCTTGGTGGAAGACTGGCAGTGAGGTTAACAATATAAACAATTCTACTAAATTTAACCCTTTCAGGGTCCGTGCCGTAGATCTACGACTTTATGTTGAGGGTCCAAACCGTAGATCTACACCATGAGCTCAGCTCACTCTCATAAGCTGTGAGCGGTAAATTTGGGCCTAGATATGAGAGAATACATTATGTGGTGTATGTGCACCACATAAAACAAATCCTGCAGCACACAGTGAATAATGAGAGAAAAAAAAAAAGAAATTTCGATTAAAACCACAAATTTGCAGTGTTCTGTCGTATGTTTTTTTATAGTTGTATTTGTGATTTCTTCGTCTCACTTGATACAATGGAAGATATATTACAGAAATAGAGATGATTTTGATTGGTTTTAGTACTGGAAATGGCTTGAAACTGAGCTCAAAGTAGCGGAAATGTTAAATTTTTGCTGATGTTCAATGACCTCACACGTCTAATACATGCCTGTTGGCGAGTCTAATATACACTCACAAATGTGGTGATATTATTTATACAATTATTACAATATTGCATAACAGTAAATCTTCTATTTCTTGGTTTGAATAAAAATTCATCATGTGAATAAAAAATCAAAATTGAATTCATTTGTAAAGCCTGAAAACGTAACTAATGAACAGAGGAAATGTTAGTTTAGTGCCAGGAATGCCTGCATTGTTTATTCTGGACCCTATTTTGAAATTGGAATATTTTGAACTTTGCATTAAATTAGCCAAATTACCAATTTCCGATCACCATTTTGTAGTTGAAACAGTTGACCTGACGATTTCTTGTGCTCACTCTATAGAATAGAAGTAATACTAGTGAAATAGCTAAGAATTTGGTCGACTGGAATAATGTAATTAGCCTAAAATAGGAGTCTAAGTCTGCAAAATCACCGATGCATAAATATCGCTGATGCATCAAAATTCGCGAGAGCATAATTTCGTCAATTTTCCATTTAATTTCGTACTTTTTGTTTTATTGCCTTCAGAAAAAGATTCTCTACCATTTCATAAGCAAAAATAAAATTATTCTTTGAAAATTCTTGGACACTGGTGCACACTGAAATTTGGCCTCTGGACCCTGAAAGGGTTAACGTTGCATACACAAAGATTAAAGATAAACTTACTTTTTTCTTTTATTTCTATCATATCCATTTAGAACAAAAATATAAAAGCTTTCCTTACATATACAAAAATTAGTTCACAATCACCTTTGATATAGTTTTTATTTTTTGACCTTAGCACAGTACGTGCAAAAACCTAAAATTTTGCTATCCAGAATGATAAATCAATTAAGTTGACTTATAGCACTGGTTAGTCTGAGTGCCTGCTTTATAGAGGCTCATATATTTCTTGTCTTTACAATATTATCTATCATGCCTTATTTCCTCTGGGAATTCCATTTTCTTGAGATATATGCCATCTACACAACATTCTACAGACATTTAAAATGCCTTCAACTTATCTGAATCACCGGAATCGCTTGCTGAAAAATTGTGTGTGTTGGTTTTGCTATCGTAAGTGAGGCAACCACAATGATGCAAACAAAAATTAAAATTCCTTGCTGCAAAAACCATGCAAGTGATAAAGTATTTACTGGAGACATGGTGATGAGGATAAAAATCCTCATTCAGTTGCAAAGGCTAGCACGTAAAAAATAGACAGGCATACCTTGAGAATTGACAATTTTTTCCCCTAATAGTTCTTGCCTTTTGTATCAAACATCTTTCAGGGTACAATACTTCTTCCCTAGTGTCTGATTTTTGAAGAAAAATATTCTGAAATTATGTTCATAGACATCAAAATCTGATCCATGAAGAAAAAAGAAATTTAAGTGATTATGGTTTTAAAACTTGAGAAATAAGAATATGTAAACTTTATTCATAAATACTGTATTAAAATCTACAGTGTAGTATACTTTAATGTCTTAAATAGGCTCATAACTTCACATAGGAAAAATTCTCTAAATACTTCTTACACCTTGACTTCCATATTAATAGAGATAATCCAAAAAGGGTCAAGAATGCATCAAAATTATTCATAAAGCTGGATTAACTGGTCATAAGAGACCCTCAAATGATATGCAACTGATTAGGAGCTGATCTATGAATTTAGTCGGATTGCCCATCAATTACCTAGTTGCACTGTGTAAGACACCTTACTGAAGTCAGTATCCATTCATTTTACAAAAATTCAAGCAAAATCTTTAAAACTAAAATGAACAGCTACCTCATGGTAAGGTACTAACACACACATGTAATGTAATGGGTATGATACACAAAAAAAAAAAAATGGTTGGTTGCAGTAGAAAAATATAAGCTAGAGCAAAAATAGATTGTTCATGCTATTCAAATGGAGGCAATGTATGTGTGCCTCTGTCCCATGGATGTTTAAGACAAACATAAGACGTACTTTCAATTTTGTGTGGTTCGTGTTGCTTGGGATGATGTAGGGGCGAGATGGAGTTAAAACCCGGCGGTGGTGAAGTTGGGGGCCACATGGGTGCCACGGAGCGCTGTGTGGGAGCCGTAGGACCCGAGGGGCTAGTATGAGGACCCAAACCAGTTGGCAAGCCAGGAGTTAGGTTGTATGGCATTAGATTATTCCAGAGTGGGTGGGGTGGCCCACCCTCTGTGAGCTGTTCCATTGTTTTCATCCAGTGGGGAGGAGAATCTGACCGTGAATCTGTCAGCTGCCCTGATGAGACAATTGCTGGGTCGATAACTGTCAGATCAGGACCAACACTGGTATTCCAACCTGAAAATAATTATAAACAAAGCATCCTTGTTAGGAAGCCTGGAGTGAGGAAAACATGTCTATGATGGGTTTATTTGGTAGTCTCTGTCCTCTTGTGGGCCCTACTATTCAAGTTATTTTTGAAAACTCAGACCAATAAAAGCCCTAACTGTAATACAAGAAAAAGTACAGCAAGTTATAGTGACAATGACAATGTTATAAACTGGACAAGTTTTATCCATAGTAGAAAAAGCAACAAAAGAATACAGAAAAAAACTAAGAGGAGCCTTACCCTCCTTTTTAATGGCATCTTTATAAAACTAACAGATAGCAATCAAAACAGGAAAAAGATGAAAATTAAAAACTATATTATATATACAGACAGAACTCTCATAACACTGATACAGGTAGCACAATGGGAGAGAGTGCAACAAAATAAGATGACTTGGATGGTGTATAAATCTGTAAAGGAGGAAAGTCAGGGTAGGAGTTGCCCTAGTTAAGGTTAGAGAGGGGGGTGAAGGTTTTTTATGAAAGGGGCCTGGACATTCAGCAAGCATGTGTGAGCATGTTAGATAAGAGTGGAGACAAGTGGGTTTTTATGACAGACATGGTGTTGTAGTGTAGCAAGATAACATTTATGAAGGGATTCATGGAAACCAGGTAGCTGGACTCAAATCCTACAGGCATTAAGTACAGTGCCTGTACTCTGAAAGAGGGGTGGAGATAATGGAGAGAGATACAGGAGTGACAATTAGAAGCAATTCATTGCCAAAGAGTTATATAACTTCCCTCCAGTGCTTGACCACAGCCAAATGCACCACCACACTGCAAATCAAGTGCCACCTCACTCAATTTTTTTTTTTTTTTTTTTTTTTTAAAACACGTCAGCCGTTTCCCAATGAGGCAGGGTGACCCAAAAAGAAAAAAAACTCATCATTCAACACTTTCACCATCACTCATACATAATAACTCTTTGCAGAGGCGCTCTGATACAACAGCGTAGACATCCCTCCAAACTGCCAATATCCCAAACCTCTCCTTTAAAATACAGGCATTGTACTCCCCATTCCCTTCACAAAATATTACCCTGCTCACACTCCAACAGCTTGTCTGATACTATCCTTACTCAATTCACAAGGGTACATGATCCACAAAGAGAAGACACACTCATGAGTTGAATCTCTCGGCTGCCAACAGATCAAAATGCAACTCAACACTACTGCAAAGGAGCAATGCAGGAACAGCTGATCGAGGCAGGCAGGGTATACACTCGTCAAAGAAGCAAAATTGCCCACACAGTGAAAACTATGAATACATGGGTCTCCATGCATAAACACACAGAGCAGCATTTAGTTAAACCACTGAAGGCTGCTGCAACCCCAGTGACTAAAACCTCTTCAGTGCAAATCCAGTGCAAACAGGCACATTATTAAATTCATAGAGCACTAAATCTATAGGTCATGAAGAACCTACAAAACAGGAGGCAATCAGCTATGATGAATGGAAGGGGATGGGAGCTCTCTTGAATCAAAGTAACATCCTAGAAATGGCAGCACAGGCACATTGATGACTGTAATCCCCTCACCACTAAAATTAACTGCCATCAGAGGGGTATACAAGAAAACCAATAAAATAATTATCCCTTCAAGAAGACCCAGATGCTAGGTGTGCCAAAGTATCGGACGATATGTTAATTTTTATGATACTGACCTAAAATTGAATATTAGAAAATATTTTGGCATCATCCCATCACTACTGGATGCTACAATAACTTTACAATAGCCTATAGATATATGGCAGGTGAGGTGTTCAAACTGTTTACAATGTATGTTAGACCAAAAACAATGCTGTGGTGGTACAGTCAATCAGAATAAAAAAAAGAGAAGCTACAAAATGTCAACATGAGATAAAAAGTTACACACATTAAAAGAGTTAGATATACTCTCACTGGCTGATAGGAGAAAAAGACATAACCACATAAGAGATTATAAAAGATACAAAACAATATGCTGTACAAGGAAAATTTTGCAATATCAATAAGACCAAGCCATAGTAGTAAACTAAAACCTCAAAAGAATAAGAACATAAGAAAGAAGGAACACTGCACCAGGCCTACTGACCCATCCAAAGCAGGTCCATGTCACCCCTGGCTTGGACCAATGACCCACCTAGTCAGGTCACTTCCACTTAAGGAAGGAGCATGGCATCAGACCTAGTAGCACAAGCTAGTCAGGTCCAACTCGCACCCACTCGTGTATTTATCAAACCTATTTTGAAAACTACAACGTTTTTGCTTCTATGATGGTACTCGGGAGTTTGTTCCACTCATCCACAAAGCTATTACCAAACCAGTGCTTTCCTATATCCTTCCTGAATCTGAATTTTTCCAACTTGAAACCATTGCTACGAGTCCTGTCTTGGCTGGATATTTTCAGCACACTATTTACATTATTTATTCCTTTTTTTCTTTTATACACCTCAATCATATCCCCCCTAATTCTATGCCTTTCTAGAGAATGCAAATTCAGGGCCCTCAGTTTATCCTCATAAGGAAGATTTCTGATACATGGGATCAACTTTGTCATCCTCTTTTGTACGTTTTCCAGTGCATTTACATCCATTCTGTAATGTGATGACCAGAACTGTGCAGCATAATCTAAATGAGGCCTAACCAAGGATATACTTCTTGATATGAAGCCAAGGATTCTGTTAGCTTTATTGCAAACACTAATGCACTGTCTTGGTTTTAAATTACTGTAAAGCAGAACTCCTAAATCCTTTTTGCAATCAGTAGTAAGATCTACATTTAGTTTATTTGTGGCATGGTTATTTTCCTGTCCAACATTTAGAACTTTGCATTTGTCTATATTAAACCTCATCTACCACTTCTCCGACCATTGCATCAGTATATTCAAATCATCCTAGAGTGCTCTAATGTCCTCATTAGAATGAATTGGACAGCCTATTTTGGTGTCAACAGCAAATTTGCTTATGTCACTATTTATTCCCTCATCTACATCGTTTATATAAATTGTGAACAATGGGCACAACATTGACCCCTGCGGAACACCACTTGTGACGTGCCCCCATTCTGATTTCTCCCCATTTATGCAAACTCTCTGCTGCCTATTTGTCAACCATGCATCTACCCAGAAAAAAATTTCTCCTATTCAGTGTGCCTTAAGTTTCCTCAATTGCCTCTGATGCGGAACTATTGAAAGCCTTACTGAAGTCCATATACACTATCATATTCATTACCATGATCCTCCTCCCCCTCTCCTCCTCTCCTCCTCCTCCTCTCCCCCTCCTCCTCCTCTCCTCCTCCTCCTCCTCCTCCTCCTCCTCCTCCTCCTCCTCCTCCTCCTCCTCAAACACCTTATTGAAAAAAGTTAGTAAATTCGTAAGACAGGACTGCCCCTTTGTAAAACCGTGTTGAGATTCATTAATCAATTTATGCCTCTCAAGATGGCTACAAATTGTTTCAGCAATTAATGATTCCATAAATTTTCCCCACTATGGAGGCAAGGCTTATAGGTCCATAGCTCAAAGCTAAGGACCTGTCACCTGCCTTGTAAATAGGTATTACATTTGCCATTTTCTACTAATCAGGCACTATGCCAGTTTGTATTGATATGCTGAAAAGATTAGCCAAAGGTTTGCTAAGTTCCTCTTTACATTCCTTGAAAACTCTTGCAAACAATTCATCAGGACCTGGGGATTTGTTAGGTTTTAATTTCTCTATTTGTCTGAGAACCTTGTCATTAGTTACCCCAATCGTGCACAGTTTATTATCTTTCTGTTCTACATAATTTACTATTTCTTGAATTTCGCTAGTATCTTCCTGGGTAAAAACAGAGGAAGTAAGTATTGAAAATTTCACACATTTCCTTATCACTGTCAGTGATCTGACCTGAGTTACTCTTAAGTGGGCCTATCTTGTCCCTAATCTTACTTCTGTATACCTGAAAGAACCCTTTCGAGTTAGTCTTCGAATTCCTTGCATCCTTAGCCTCAATCTCTTTTTGCTCTTCTTATTCCTTTTTATTTTTTATTTCTCTTTAATTGAATATATTGATTTCTTAACTGCCCATCCCCTCTTTTGATACACCTATATATGCCTCTCTTTTGACCAATGAGATGTTTTAATCTATTGTTCATCCATTTGGGATCATTTTTGTTAGATCTAATTTCCCTACTTGGAACAAAAGTTGTCTGGGCAGCTGAACTATGATCTGAAAAACATCATATTGGCAACCACCACCACCTACCTGACCCAGAGTCAGGTCATCCCAATTTAGCCAACCCAGGTAATTTCTCAGTCCCATGAAATTGGCCAAGCAAAAGTCTGAGACATATATATAGATAGCAGTTATCTGGGTAATTCCACGATATACTGAAACTAAGTGATTTGTGATCGCTTTCCCCAAGCTCATCATTAACCTCAAGATTATTAATTAGTGATTTTTTGTTGGCAAAAACCAAGTCAAGCAGATTGTTTCCTCTAGTTGGTTCTGTCACAAACTGTTTTAACCCTTTGACTGTTTTGGTCGTATATATACGTCTTACGAGGTACCGTGTTTGACGTATATATACTCAAATTCTAGCGGCTTCAAATCAAGCAGGAGAAAGCTGGTAGGCCCACATGCAAGAGAATGGGTCTGTGTGGTAAGTGTGCACCACATAAGAAAAATCCTGGAGCACGCAGTGCATAATGAGAAAAAAAAAATCCAACTTTTTTTTTTTTTCTTTTTTAATTAAAATGCCAACTTTGTGGTCTATTTTTGTATAGTATTTATGGTTGTTTTCTTGTTTTCATGGTCTCATTTGATAGAATGGAAAACATATTATAGAAATAGAGGTGATTTTGATTGGTTTAACTATAAAAAGAACCTGGAAATGGAGCTCAAAGTAGGGGACATGTTTGACTTTTGCCGATGTTCAAAAGTAAACAAATGATGTCATTGTCCAATAAATGTCCAACTAGCCATTCTAATATGCAGTCATGAATGGGTTGACATTATTTGTACAATTATTACAGTATTGGAGTAGTCTGCATAACAGTAAATCTTCTATTTTTTTATTTGAATAAAAATTCAAAATAGAAAGCAAGAGTAATATCAGAGGGGCCTGGAGATGTGACTGATGAACACAGAAAATGTTATTTTAGAGCCAGGATTGTCTGCATTGTTCATTCTGGACCCTATTTTGAAATTGTCATTTTTTAATTTTCGTGAAATTGGCCAAATTGCAAATTTCTGACCACATTATTGGGTAGTTAAAATTGGTAAATGGGCAGTTTCTTGTACTCAATCGATAGAAAAAATGGAGTTCTAAAGAAATAGCTACGAGTTTGGTCGACTGAATAATGGAATTAGCCGAAAACAGGGCTCAAATTGGGCAAAATCGCCAATTTGTAAATATCACTGATGTTGCTAATTTCACAAGTGCGCAATTCCGTCAGTTTTCCATTAAGTTTCGTTTTTTTTTTTTTTTTTGGTGTCATTACAATCGGGAAAAGATTCTCTATCATTTCATAAGATTTTTTTTTTTTTTTTTTTTGAAATTTTGCGACACCTCAAGATTGGGGGTTGCGACAGTCAAGGGGTTAAAAAGCAATCCTGAAATGTATCAAGAAAGTCACTAGACTTAAGATTTCCTGTCACACAGTTCCAATCAATTTGTCTTAATTTAAAATATGTTTGCAAACTAAAAGATTAACAAAATGGATTACAAGTAGTGAAATGCTAAACTCGCTAGAAAATCAAAGACAACAGATTAAACATCACAATCAAGACAACACAAATGTAGCTCTGCTTCTGCAGCTACAAATAGGTAACTACATTAAAATTAAAATACGTATCATGTATTAATACTGAAGCATTAACTTGTAGTGTCCAATTAAGGTATTCCTAAGACTAGACTAAAATAAGCTAGGTAAAGGTAAGAGTTCCAGTTATAAAATATATGCAAAAACTCTGCCTAACATCTGCAGAGAAAGTCAATACAAACGGTATTACCTTAAAATAAAACATTGACAAGCAATTTAAGCTTAAAAATTCAAGTACCGTATAGTAATAGTATACCTTTGTGAGAATTTGCAAGAGAGCTCATTGTTAGTTGGTGTAGAAGAGACTGCTGTGAAGAATGCTGCTGCTGCTGCTGCTGCTGCTGCTGCTGCTGGTGGTGGTGGTGGTGGTGATGGTGGTGGTGTTGCTGCTGCTGCTGATGGTGGTGCTGTTGATGGGCCATATTTAGGAAATTTGTTAATGGGTTGTTTTGCGAGGTTGGGTTATTAGTTCCTCCAGCAAGTGAATTTAATGTGTTCACTGTATTAAGTGTGTTCATAGTGCTCACTGAGCTGATGGCTGGGAATATATTGCGGAGGCCGTTTTCTAAGTCTTTGAGGAGGAACGCATCGCCTTTGGGCAACTCTATACCTGGCGGACCTTGTGAGGCACTAAGAGGTGTGTCCATACTTAAGAGGGAGGCAGTTGATAGCAAGTGAGGGGGTAAACCATTACTGAGTCCCCCTGGTAAACCACCACTACCAAGCCCATTAGTGGTGCTATTACTAAGTAGACTTCCACCCAAACCTGGAGGTACACCTAAACCACTAGATCCCACCAAGCCATTGAGCGTTGGAGGTACAGAAGAGGTGGAACCAAGTCCAGGAGTGCCCAGGTTGGGAGTCCCTGTTATCCCACCTAAGAATGGTGGCAGCAGTTTACTGGGCTCGGTCTGATTTTGTCTCGGCATACTATATGAATTAAAACTGTTTAAACCATTAAAGCCTGGTGGTGGCAATCTAGCTCGAGACTGTCCACTAGGCGTTGAATAGTCCATCAATGCTTTTAGACCAGCTCTTAATTGCTGCTGTTGATGTTGTTGATTATGATGATTGTGGTGATGCTGCTGTTGCTGGTGATGGTGGTGGTGGTGATGGTGGTGGTGGTGAGACTGTAGCTGGGTTTGATGTTGGTGTTGACTGAACTGTTGCTGATGCCGCTGAAGCTGCTGCTGCTTTTGTTCAATTTTTATATCTTCGGCTAATGCTTTGTTTGTTTCTTCGAATGGGTCAAAACCTAACTCATCATCAGCTAAATTAACTCCTGTCATGTCTTCACTCTTTTCAAAATCAAATATGCAATTCCAAGTACTATGCGAGTGATTTTGAGAGGGAAACATATCCATATCAAATACTTCAGATGGTTTGCTGGCCCAATCTGTAAAAAGTTAAAAGTAATTTTAAAACCACTGTACATACATCACTTCCTCCTCTTGATATTTCAAAACTATGAAAAGTTTTTTCCCAGCACAATGGCTGAAAAAAAAAAAATATAAATTTATCCAACACTCTGGAATAGTACTTTTTTGAGCTATACAAGTTTTAAAGGATCTATTATACAATATCAAAAAATTTTCATTTTTTTGTAAGTAGATCAGTCTGAGTATATTCAATTTACTATTTTTCTATGAAAAAAACTGCCATCAGTGGATGTCTCATACACAAGAAAACAGACTTCAAGCATAAATGCACTAGATTCCTACCAGAGGTGGTGTCATGTGAATTCTGATGACTGTTATGATTGTTGTGAAGTTGACAATTCTGTTGTGAAAATGCTGGTGGAAGGGGTGGTGGTGTTCGCTGGAGAGGAAGTGATGGCCCAGAAGAGAAGAAACTGTTACTGTTATCCGAGAAGAGGGAGGCAGCAGCAGCAGCAGAACAGGAAAACTGTTGCGGTAGTGGGAGTGATGACGACGGTTCGGAGGAAGACGATAACGAGGAGGGGGGAGTGGGTAATGGAGAGTTCTCTTCTTGACATAAATCCTGTACACATGACACTGGTACAGGTGATGAAGAACAAGGTGGAGGAGAGGGTGGAAGAAGAGGGTTATCAAAGGATGGGGGTGGGGTAGTAGAAGCAGAAGACGTGCAGCTCTCATGACCTGATGATGGTGATGTGGCCACAGGGCTAACACTGTGACTCATCATATCTACACTCAAGCCATTACTACAGCTGCTACTGCTTCCACTTGAGCTACCATTGCTGTTGCTGCTGCTGCTACTACTGCTGCTGCTGCTGGTATTGCAAGATCGATCTCTCTCTTTACTCCCTCTGTAATATAAAATTGCTTTCATCAATGCAAAATATTTGCTTTATCGTCATAATTCTACAATCTAATACAAGCCCAATACATAAGTCTTTTACTAGGTAGAATAAAACCATTCATTAAAACCTTCCTATGAAAGGGTAAAGATTAAAACCTATTTAAGAAACAGTGCTCAAAGGACCAACTTTGTTGTACCGTCTCAAAATAGTTTCTTTAAATTAATCCCTTTTCCATCAAGGCTGGGTGACACAATAAAGGAAACACTCCCCACCACTCACTTTAGCAATCATGCCAGAAGTGCAAAGATATCACAATTTAAATGACCCTCTAAAGTTCTAAACCACAATGTCCCCACCCATTCTTCAGTGCAGACACTATGTACTTAGCACCTGCACTAGTCCTACACTGTTTAACCCCTTCATAGAAGTTAACTTGCCCACAGGTCAAACCCAGAAAACCTTTCCTGTGTTATTGTGGGGTAATTAAATAATCTTGATACACCCTGCCTTGGTGGGAGACGGCCGACTTGTTGAGAAAGAGGAAAGGAAAAAAAAAAAAGCATTTTATTTGGATCCAGGCAATAGTTCTGAAGTTTTTATTTGAATTTTCCAAAATGCTGCATATTAATATTTTTTTTTTAACAGGAAACATCTCAACTGGTTGAAGTTCACACGATTCAGTAAGCCAATATTTTCTCGTCACTGCCTTGGTTGAAGTGGAGGAGGACAAAATTCATGTAGACATCTATCACTTCAACCATTACCACAAGGAACAAATTAAAATGTAATGGTCATAAAAAAATAAAAATATCAATGATACTTGCTAATAAAGGGATTCCCTTGATAAAAATGAAAAAATCAGTTAAATGAAATACCAAAAACTTACCTTTTATTATTGTTAATATTACTGTTATTATTGGGTTCGTCTATCGGCGTGTGTCTTGCCGAGCAGTTACTTCTATCAGATTTACTGCCTTTCGATTTTTTACTCTCTTTAGTAGCTACAGCACTGAGCGATGGCCAAGCCTCACCAGAGTTAGTATTCGGATTATTTGTATCTTGATTTTTGGGGGCAGTATTTTCTTTACCCCCTCCTGATGTTCTTTTATTCGAATTGGAATTTCCTGCGGTGGTTGCTTGAGGTGGAGATACAGTCGTGCTGAAAAATAAAAAAAACATTCTTGGTGGGAAGTGGTCAGTAATAAAAATTAAATTAACAGTAGGCTTTTCAAAAGCCACAACCACTAAACATTTCCACATACTCCTTGATAGAGTATATGGAAGCTATTAAATTGAATTACAACTGACCACCTGAGAAGTAAGGAGGTAAAAGATCAAGTGCACACACAACCCCACCCTACATCAACATCTACATAAACACTTCGTCTATTTGAAGTTCTCCCATACATACACTTCCAATCATGTCTTGTTTTATTACTTAAATTCAACCTACCTCATTATTCTCTACCACTTTAATGGCCACTCCACCCTACAGACCAATACATCAATGCACTAACTATCCACTTACCTAACTCTACATCCATTAGTACTAAAGAAATCCATCTGAGTTGCTTCCCCTCTCTAAATTTGTTCTCTTACAGAATTATGTTTCATTAAAACATAATACCACAGGGCTGCTATACTCACTCCAATATTCACCACACCTGCAAGCATACAGTTGTCTCCTTTAATATGCAAGCACACAATTTAAGTGTAGTGCTTTTATTTAATAAACAGGCTTTCCATGAACACATGCAAGTTTTTCAAATCATGTTTGACTACGTAAAATGTCAGATAAAAGATTTACGTATAGTGGCCTCCATTTGATAATGTCTAATAAAACCAAATCTGAATACAGCAGTAGAAAGCTGTAGTAAACAAATGTGCAACAAACTGTTTTCCTCAAAAATATGAAGAAATCTACAGCAATTTCTTTGTCTAAGCTTAGCCAATGGTTCCATATTATAATGTCCTAACTAATGCACACTGAAAGTCTTAAAATCTGTAATCCTAATCTTTTCTTTTATACAAACTTACTTTTATTTAAGGTAGTGAGTAATGGCATTACAAAGGATATCCTAAATACTGTACTTACTTGCTTGCTTGCTTTTAGATTTAATGAGTAATGTACATAACACCATAAATTACTTTATGAACAAATCTCACCTATTTTTTTCCGATGCTGGATTGCCTAAATATTGATCTTGAAGTTTCTTTTCAAATTCTTGGTGTTTTCCTTGTTGCATTTCTTCTTTAGTAAAACTTGCAGATTCATCTCCTGAATAAGAATGACAATTATTGTAGATTTTTGTATTTGTTGCAATAATCGTTATTATACAGGGGTACCATATTCGAAAAGTAAATAACCCTTTCAGTGGCTATCATGTAGAATTAAGTCATTGAAGCCAGGGTCCCTTACATGGTTATACGTCACGAGTTCATCTCGCTCGGATAAGCTACAAGCAATAAATTTTGGCCTAGATACGAGAGAATGGGTCTGCGAGGCAAGTGTGCATAATAAAAAAAAAAATCCTGCCCCCATGCAGTGCATGATGGTGAAAAGCAAAAATCTTGACTGTTTTAAAACAGCAACCAAGGTGTTTTCTCAAACAATTTCATTGGCAATTTCATGGTGTCTTAGTAGAATGGAAGACATACTACAGAGATGGTTTTGGTTGGTTTCAGGACCAGAAATGGCTTGAAACTGACCTCAAAGTAGCAGATATATTTTTGCTGATGAAATATAACCAGGAATGATTGGTCATGGTTTACAGCATCCCAATAATTAAATTATACCTACTAAAAACCCATAAAACAGACAGGGGGTGTAGAGGGCCTGAATCTTTCTCAGGAAAAAATCTGCAAAAATATTTCCAATCCTTTGAGTCCAATTTCGAGCTACTCCTGATCCTGAAACCAACCAAAATCATTATTTCAGTAGTATGTCTTCTATTGTATAAAACGACACTGAGAAAGACACTAAAACCACAAAAAAATCCTACAACACCTCAAAGTCGCTATATTAAACCAAATACATGGTCAGGTTTGTTTTTCCCCATCATGCACCGCATAGGGAAAGGATTATTTTTTATACTGTGTACACTCACTGCGCAGACCCACTCTCATACGCAAGGCAAAATTTATTGCTCACAGTTTATCCAAGTAAGCTGAACTCATGATGTAAAACTACGCAAGGGGACCCTAGCCTCAATAACATTGTTCTACATGACAGTTATTGAAAGGGTTAGCTGAAAAATAATAATCTCTATCCTACATCCTAACCTGAACCTCACTATGCTTAAAAAATCTTAACTCCTTTCAGTAACCTACCACCTATTCCATACACTTGCAACATCTGCCATATTGCTCCCATATTCACATTATCACATTTTTCTTATTTTTTTTTTAACACATCAGCCATTTCCCACTGAGGCAGAGTGACTCAAAAAGAAAGAATAAATCTTCCATCATCAATCAATACTTTCACCATCACTTTCCAGAGGTGCTCAGATACAACAGTTTAGATGTCCCTCCAAACTGCCAACATTCCAAACCCCTCCTTCAAAGTGCAAACATTGTACTTCACATTTCCAGGAATCAAGTCTGGCTAACCAGTTTTCCTGTATCCCTTCACTAAATATTACCCTGCTCTCACTCCACCAGCTCGTCAAGTCCGAAAAACCATTATTCTCCATTCACTAACACGCTCACACACGCTTGCTGTAAGTCTTATCCCCTCCCTCCAACCTTTTCGAGGACGACCCCTACCCCTCCTTCCTTTCCCTACAGATTTATTCACTCTAAGTCATTCTACTTTGATCCATTCTCTCTAAATGACCAAACCACCTCAACAACACCTCTTCAGCCCTTTGACTAATATTTTTATTAACTCCACACCTTCTCCTAATTTCCACACTTCGAATTCTCTGCCTATTTACACCACACATTACCCTTAGACAAGACATCTCCACTGCCTCCAACCGCGTCCTCACTGCAGCATTTACAACCCAAACTTCACACCCATACAAGAATGTTGGTACCACTATACTTTCATATATTTCCTTCTTTGCCTCCATAGATAATGTGTTTTTTTTTTCTCCACATATACCTCAATGCACCACTCGCCTTTTTTCCTTTTATCAATTCTATGGTTAACCTCATCCTTCATACATCCATCTGCTGACACGTCAACTCCCAAATATCTGAAAACATTCACTTCTTCCATACTACTCATCTCCAATTTGATATTCAATTTTTCTTTATCTAAATCATTTGATATCCTCATCACCTTACTCTTTTCTATGCTATATTTATTTTTTAACAAGTCGGCCGTCTCCCACCGAGGCAGGGTGACCCAAAAAGAAAAAATCCCCAAAATGAAAATACTTTCATCATTCAACACTTTCACCTCACTCACACATAATCACTGTTTTTGGAGAGGTGCTCAGAATACAACAGCTTAGAAGCATATACTGTACGTATAAAGATACACAGTATATTCCTCCAAACTGCCAATATTCAAAATCCCTCCTTTAAAGTGCAGGCATTGTACTTCCCATTTCCAGGACTCAAGTCCGGCTATATAAAAATAACCGGTTTCCCTGAATCCCTTCACTAAATATTACCCTGCTCACACTCCAACAGCTCGTCAAGTCCCAAATACCATTCGTCTCCATTCACTCCTATCTAACACGCTCACGCATGCTTGCTGAAAGTCCAAGCCCCTTGCCCACAAAACCTCCTTTACGCCCCACCAGGCGAATTTTCCAGGATACGAACTGTCGTTTGGTTGATTTTTTGCTTGTAGATATGAACAAAATTTCAGGATGTGAACTCCCCCCTCAAGGGAGGTTCCTTAAATAAATGAAATATTTATTTCTTTGCCAAGGTTACAATGTATCTTTACATATAATATGAGTGGGGCAAAGGGAGCCACTATCATGCCGAGGCATTTCAGGGAGACTTAACCTAATACTAATAAACTACTTGAGTCTAGACAGATGAAAAGTGTACTAGTAGTGGTTACCAATGTTTTGTTGATGGTGGTGCCAACTACTGGCAGCCTTTTGAAGTTTCTCCTTAGTTATTATTATTATTATTACTAATACATTGTATTATCATGATTGTTATAATTATTATTAGTATGTACGTGATGATGGGCTCTTGATCTAGGGAACTGGATCTGTGCTCCAGTTCCCTAAATTAAAAATAATAATAATAATAATAATAATAATTCTCAATGGGGAAGTGGAACAGAATTCTTCCTCCGTAAGCCATGCGTGTAGTAAGAGGTGACTAAAATGCCGGGAGCAAAGGGCTAGTAACCCCTTCTCCTGTATACATTAGTAGAGTTAAAAAGAGAAACTTTTGTTTTTCTTTTATGGTCACCCTGCTTCTGTGGGATATGGCCAGTTTGAAAGAATAATAATAGTAATAATAATAATAATATGTACGTACTAATGTAAATGGGGAGCCTTTAATTGAGCTATGTGTAGAAAGAGATTTGGTAATAAGTAATACATATTTTATGAAAAAGAGGATAAATAAATATACAAGGTATGATGTAGCACGTAATGAAAGTAGTTTATTAGATTAGGTATGGTGGATAAGATGTTGATGGTAGGCTCCAGGATGTACATGTTAATAGTGGGGCAACTGATATATCGGATCATTATTTACTTGTAGCTACAGTTAGAATAAGAGGTAGATGGGAAAAAAAAGAAGGTGCAACAAAAGTAAGAGGGAGAGTGAAAGTGTATTTAAAATAAGGGAAGGAGGAAGTTCGGGTGAGATATAAGCGACTATTGGCAGAAAAGGTGGGCTAGTGCAAAGTTATAGTGGGGGGGTTGAAGAGGGTTGGAATAGTTTTAAAAATGCAGTATTAGAATGTGGGGGCAGAAGGTTGTGGTTATAGGAGGGGGGGCAGGAGGAAAGAGGAGTGATTGGTGGAATGAATGAAGTAAAGGGTGTGATAAAAGAGAAAAAGGTAGCTTATGAGATGGTTTTTACAAAGAAAGTGTTATAAGAAGAGCAGAGTATATGGAGAGTAAAAGAAAGGTAAAGAGTGGTGAGAGAGTGCAAAAGGAGAGCAGATGATAGAGTGGTAGAGGCACTGTCAAGAAATTTTAATGAAAATAAGAAAAAATTTTGGAGCGAGTTAAACAAGTTAAGAAAGCCTAGGGAAAATATGGATTTGTCAGTTAAAAACAGAGTAGGGGAGTTAGTAGATGGGAGATGGAGGTATTGGGTAGATGGCGAGAATATTTTGAGGAACTTTTAAATGTTAAGGAAGAAACAGAGGCAGTAATTTCATGCACTGGTCAGGGAGGTATACCATCTTTTAGGAGTGAAGAAGAGCAGAATGTAAGTGTGGGGGAGGTACGTGAGGGATTACGTAAAATGAAAGGGGGTAAAGCAGCTGGAACTGATGGGATCATGACAGAAATGTTAAAAGCAGGGGGGATATAGTGTTGGAGTGGTTGGTACTTTGTTTAATAAATGTATGAAAGAGGGGAAGGTACCTAGGGATTGGCAGAGAGCATGTATAGTCCCTTTATATAAAGGAAAGGGGACAAAAGAGACTGTAAAAATTATAGAGGAATAAGCTTACTGAGTATACCAGGAAAAGTGTACGGTAGGGTTATAATTGAAAGAATTAGAGGTAAGACAGAATGTAGGATTGCGGATGAGCAAGGAGGTTTTAGAGTGGGTAGGGGATGTGTAGATCAAGTGTTTACATTGAAGCATATATGTGAACAGTATTTAGATAAAGGTAGGGAAGTTTTTATTGCATTTATGGATTTAGAAAAGGCATATGATAGAGTGGATAGAGGAGCAATGTGGCAGATGTTGCAAGTATATGGAATAGGTGGTAAGTTATTAAATGCTGTAAAGAGTTTTTATGAGGATAGTGAGGCTCAGGTTAGGGTGTGTAGAAGAGAGGGAGACTACTTCCCGGTAAAAGTAGGTCTTAGACAGGGATGTGTAATGTCACCATGGTTGTTTAATATATTTATAAAATGGGGTTGTAAAGGAAGTAAATGCTAGGGTGTTTGGGAGAGGGGTGGGATTAAATTATGGGGAATCAAATTCAAAATGGGAATTGACACAGTTACTTTTTGCTGATGATACTGTGCTTATGGGAGATTCTAAAGAAAAATTGCAAAGGTTAGTGGATGAGTTTAGGAATGTGTGTAAAGGTAGAAAGTTGAAAGTGAACATAGAAAAGAGAAAGGTGATGAGGGTGTCAAATGATTTAGATAAAGAAAAATTGGATAT